TCTCTGAGTCAGCATTTCAACATTCATATACAGGGGTAGAATAGATTGGAACAGGCCTCCCAAGAATATTCTATGTAGTCCTTCACTTTAGAGAACAGATCATTAGAGCCTAGAAAGAAAAAGGGACATGTCAAAAATTTATACAGCTTATCAATGGCAGAATATTTAAACCTAGGTCTTCTAACTTAGCCTGTGGCTTTTTTTTTTACTATACAACTATAATAAGTATCCAAAAGAATCTATAAAGAGTGCTTAAGCCATATATAAATTAATGTCAACATCTGAATTTATTAAAACATGTGAAATTCACACCTCAAAAATCCACAAAATTGACCCCAGGCATGATAAGAAGCACTGGTACACTGGCTGACCACACACATAGTATAATTGTAAGTCAAATTACAGAACATATTTGCCCTGGTTAAGAAGATGTTGAGAGCACTGCAGTATACTGCAACAGTATGTTCCATTTATTTATGCATTCATTGGTTGATTTTTGTATGTGTCCTGACACTGGGAATCAAACACAGGACCTCTGTGTAGTGGGAAGATGCTCTAAACAACTGAGCCAGTGCTAAATGACAAATATTTAAATGTCATTGATTTGAAGGAACATGTACTACTTCAAAATTACAAAGTACCTAGGCAAAAATTTTGAAGACCATGGGTTTGAATTAATATGAGAGAAGATAGGGACATTTATCCCCCTTTATCTGTGGTTTTGCTTTCCATGGTTTCGGTTACCTCTGCTCAACTGCAGCCTGAAATTGTTAAATAGAAAATTCCATCATAAATAATTTATAAGTTTAAAATTGCACACCATTGTGAGTAGTGTGACAAAACATTGCCTCACACCATTGGGAACCTGAATTATCCCTTTGTCCAGCATATCCCCACTGTGTACACTACCTGCCCATTGGTCACTCAGAAACTTATCACATTGTTTGTGTTCAAGTAACCCTTATGTTACTTCACAATGGCTCCAAAGCTCAAGAGTAGTTTAAGCTTTAGTACAGGTATGCATCTGTAGGGGAAGATATACTACGCATAGGGTTTGGTACTATCCATGGTTTCAGGCATCTACAGAGGGTCTTGGAACATATCTCCCATGAATAAATTTCTAGGAGGGGACTACTGTATGCACAAGGAAAAAGAATATAGTACTTTGAAGTCTTTGATGGAAGAAATCCTTGATACAAATGCTTGATGTATGTCTAATATAAAATACAAAGAGATCTCACCAGAAGGCTAATGTTGTTCACCCCCAGAACTAGCTTTGTGGGCATGAAACCTATGCAGTAGCATAAGGCCCATGCCTGGAATGGTCCTGTGTTTCCTTCAATGTTCTGCTTCCATACTTTTGGAATTTTTAATAATTAATTTTGAACTTAAGTTTTGTGAAATGACATCTACTAAAACAACGGAGCATAAAAATGTCCACTGTCATTTCTTCCCACCCTCTTTGCATATAGCATTATGCACAGAGAATACCCTATGCACACAGAATACCATGAACTAATGTTGTACAAAATTCCAGTGAAATGTACAGTATTAAGGAGAAAAGAGAAGAAAAGAGAAGAGAAGAGCAGGGGAAGAAATTACTAGATTATATTCCCATGTTTCTTGAAAATTCTCTAGGGGAAGCTTCCCTTCCTCATTTCTTTTTCCCCTGTTCAGCCTCTCCTTATTCTCTCCCCACAAATGAGCACCATGGCTCAAACTCCTAGAGCAGGCCCTCTGGGTTTTCACACCTGAATGTCACAAGGAGTCAATAAATAACCTCACTTACTAAGCTCCTGACCAGAGGAGACTGGAACCCAGGGCTAAACTGAAGGTACTCGCTGGGCTCACAAAACTAAGGACAAATTATATATTTCAACCCACACTCCGTTTAAATTCAGACATATCAACACTCAGATACCATTATCTTCTGAATCACACCCACACAACTTACACAAAACCACAGCTTTCACATCCTTAAACAAGCCATTATATTCAGTTATACCGCACCACCAGTACGAGCTCTTACTACATTACATACTTTCCCACATAGCCTCACACTCACATATGACAGGGGTCACAGAGCTCCAACCTCAGCTTATAAACACACATCACTCACTTGAAATCAGATTGCTCAAAAATCTGTGTTGAAAGAAAGAACTTAGAGTTAATTTACTGAAGTCTAGGTCTCAGAAGGAGCAGTGAGAAACTATAGTGACCCAGAGACATGGCTGAGTGAGACAAATTTGGGAGGATGCTCTATTCCACCCAGAGTGATACTTCAGCTCAGTCTTTTCCTCATTCATTTCCCTCAAAAACACCTTGCTTGTACCTAATCTTTCTGGTTCTCACAACTACAGATGCTCACAAAGTTACAACTTCCCTATAATAATGATTTGGAATCTTCTGTTGCAGGTAAGATTAAGCTAGGAAAAAAGAATAAGAACAGATGATAGTGACTTCCACCCTCCTCTCTCCACTACCCAAGCTTCTTTCTTCTAGTGGTTGGAGCCATTAGTGAAAGTCTCCAGGCAAATCAGAGGGGTTCCCCACTTTTATCCTTCTCTTTGGAATCCAGAGGAATAACACGAGTGTATCATTAGATGCTGATATTAGACTGCCTTTGCCTAAAAAAGTAGTAATTAAGTGTTTGACCATGTAAATAGTGTGATGAAAACAATTGTTAAATCAGAGGAATTGAACCATAATTTTAGCTCTGACAGCAACAGACTTTGTGATCTGGATTATATCAGCTTACTTATCTGAATATGGACTTCATCTTGACAAGAAAGAGGTGAGTATGATTATTATATTCTGTGTTACTCTTCTAAGTAGCTATGAGGCAAAGAGCTTGTAAAAATGAGAAGGACATTGTGTTCGGTGTCCAAACTTTTTAATGCCATATTCTTTGCTCTTACTCAACCACAAAAACTGTGTGAGATAAATAAGCCAGGTGTTGTCATCCCCAATGTGGAAATGAGAAAATTGAGTCTCAAAAAGGTAATGATACTTACCAATGTTAAATAGTGAATGATAAAAAAGCAAGACTAGAATGCCAGAATTGTTTGTCTTTAATTTTCTTTCTTTTTACATTATAGTTTACATTCAATATTGTTCTACATTAATTTCAGAGGTACAGCTAGTGTTTAGACAATCATAAATTCTAGAGTGGTTCCTCATATTTCAAGTATCTTCCTGGCCCTAAACATAGTTATTATGATATTATTGACTATATTCCCTGTGTTGGACTTTACATCTCTGTGATTATGCTATAGTTACCAATCTGTTCCTTTTTATAAATTGAAACTTCTGAAAACGGGGAAGAATTGTCCCAGGTTATATAACACTCTTGTAATAGAATCAGGGCTAATGTTCAGCATTCCAGGCACCGTACAAAGGATTCTTTCCGTATGTAATTGTAGTAGACCATCCTGTGTAGCATGGGACCAGCTCCCACTTGGAGATGCACAGGACCCACACCCATGGATAGATTCTCTTGTGGGGAATCAGGCTTGCAATATACCTAGGCCACTATGAGTCTTGCTTTTTGCTCCCTCACTGAATTGAGGACATTTACTACAAAGCGACTTCCTAAAAACCATGCTAAACCTTCCAAGGATGAGTGTAACCAGTCCAACTAATTTTGTCTTTTCATTTGCAAATATCCCTCTTCTGTGATGTGATTAGCAGCATTAACTCCTTTGTTTTCTGTAAAAGGAGCCTAAAGTAAATCTGTGCAAAGTAAATGAGGACCATCTTATAATGGGCAGAGAAACACAATAAATGCCTGTCATGGTAGAGGCTGAGGCTTTTGCTCCCCTTGAGAGAAAAGCCATACTGTCCCTTTTCCTCCACTGGACTTGGTAGTCCATGTGAATGTCTCATTTCATCCATAATGACGCAGACACTGCAGGACGGTGTCTGCCTCATAAAATGTTACTGGGGAGGGGCAGAATATACATAATAGTAGCTTTCTACAGCAAAAAGTAATTCACTCTTTCAGGATATCTACTATTGGTGAACTCTAGGACACTCCACTCAGTCCTTCAATCTGCCTTTATTATCAGTTGACATTCTGGTCAAGCCATTAATCCAACCATTCCACTGCTGGGAATAAAGTACATTGAACTGGCTTTACCATAATTAGCAGTAATGTTTTCCCAGCTAGCATGTCTGATGCATGTCTTACTTTGTCACATGTCACCCTCATGGATGTTCAAAACACTGTAGTTATTTAAGCATGTATTTGAGTGTACTCAGGTTGCCTAGCCTCTTGCTAGAGACTGTAGGTAAGATATAGAAATAAGCCATTTTGTGTTTATCTGGGCAGCTATGATACAAAAAGAGATTAAGTCAGTAAAACATTTTGACATTAAGGCAAGACGTCAAAGGTATGTTACTAAGAGTTATCAGAACTGAGTCTTTTCATGAATAAGGAACAAAATTTCTAGGTACAGCTAAGTTGTATGGATTTTGCAACTGTGTAAAGACATAGTTCCCAGCTCAACAGACTTTTGAAAAGTAATGGATGAATAAAAGAAAGTGAAGATGACTAAGGACTCAATTAGAGAAGGAAGGCTTCTGGGAGACAGAGGTGCTACCTGATATTTACAAATTAGAGAGGGTAACAAAAAAGAAAAGAAAAAGTACTTTTTGGGCAACTGGAATAGCATAAACTGAAAGAAGAAGCAATAGATTTTTCTAGATGTATCTGTGCAAAATAAAGTGAAAAATGTGCAGGATGTAGTAGGAGATAAGTCTGGAAGAATTACACAGGGAAAATGCTTAAATTCTTAGCTTGGTGCTTAGAACATGGCAGATGACAAAAATGGATTATATGAAATAGTATCTTTTAAGACTCTGGAACATTTTAATAAAAAACATTTTTCTCAATCTAAAATACATTATTCACAGAAAAGATCATCATTTTACGTGAGTGAATCAAACACCTAATGTTACAGGACAAGTGTACTAGCACCTATTGGATAGTCTTTTATGTGCCAGGCAGAATGTCAACTTCCAACATTAGTGATGACAGTCTCCCAACCACTCTCTTCTTGACTGGGATCCCAGGGCTGGAGTGGGCCCACATCTGGATTGCCATCCCCTTTTGTGTCATGTATTTGGTAGCACTGGCTGGGAATGCTGTCCTCATCTTGGTTATTGCCATGGACAATGTACTTCATGCACCCATGTACCTTTTCCTTTGCCTTCTCTCACTCTCTGATCTGGCTCTCAGCTCCACCACTGTGCCCAAAATGCTGGCCATCCTGTGGCTCCAGGCTGGTGAAATTTCCTTTGGTGGCTGCCTGGCGCAGATGTTTTGTGTCCACTCTATCTATGCTTTGGAGTCATCAATCCTTCTTGCCATGGCCTTTGATCGATATGTGGCCATCTGCAACCCACTGAGATACACAGTCATCCTCAACCATACAGTCATAGGCAAAATTGGCCTTGTTGGGATATTCCGTAGTGTGGCCATTGTTTCCCCCTTCATCTTTTTATTGAGGAGACTGCCCTACTGTCAGCACCATGTCATGGCACACACATACTGTGAGCACATGGGCATTGCTCGACTGGCCTGTGCCAACATCACTGTCAATATCATCTATGGGCTGACTGTGGCGCTGCTGGCCATGGGTCTGGATTCTATTCTCATTACTATCTCCTACGGTTTTATCCTTCGTGCTGTCTTTCGTCTTCCTTCACGTGATGCCCAGCACAAGGCTCTGAGTACCTGTGGCTCCCACCTTGGGGTCATTCTGGTCTTCTACATTCCTGCCTTTTTCTCCTTCCTCACCCACCGTTTTGGCCAACACCGAGTCCCCAAGCATGTGCACATCTTTCTGGCTAATCTTTATGTGCTGGTACCTCCTGTGCTCAACCCAGTCATCTATGGGGCTCGGACCAAGGAGATTCAGAGTCGACTTCTAAGACTACTTCGCATAAAGATTTCAACATGAATTCTGAGCAGAGGTTAGAAATCAGAATATTAAATTTGCATAATAGCAATTTAGATGCATTTACATGGGTGGAGACCTATGGTATGAGAGGAATGCATTATGTGCAAGTAAATTCTGGAAAGAGCAAAAAGGCCTAATCAATTGGAGATATCAATAATCACATTGAAATATCTTTTTTCTAAGGCTCTTTAAGCAGCCCTGCATAGTCAGAAAGGTGATAACATTTTTAATATTGTCTCAGAAGTATCTACAATTTTGTAAAGAGTAAGGCAGTTGCTGTTCTGAAAGGATTCTGTGTTTCATAGTGGGGATGTTCTACTGTAAGTTCAAATAGAAAAAAAAATAACATTTGAAGTAAATTGAATTTGAATTTCAATATTTTGAGTGCTTAAGCACACAAGATCTAAAGTCAGAGAGTGCCTGGATTTGAACCTTGGTTCCCTTACTTCCAAGTTTTGTGACTTTGAGCATCTTGTTAAATCTTTTTATGCTTCAGCTTGACAAACTGTCAAATAGTGGGTAATGACAGTATCTAACTCTGAATGTTGTGGTGAAGAATAGATAAATTAACAGATATAAAAAGCTTAAGACATTGCCTAACATGTAACATGCTCAATAAAATAAGATGAGAAACTTATGTAACCTCCCTAAATATTTTTAACCAAGTTATAATTTATTTAGGGCTGTTTTATATTATATCACTTCACAGGGTTATTGTGATAACTATATAACAACTCAAAATATTTAGACAGTGTTTATATTATGAATAGTGCTCATTAAAACTGCATTTTCTCCACCTATCTGGTCTTCCATTTTGAGATCCCTTTCTTCTTAGTCATAAAGTAATTTCTTAAGGATTCAAGGGAGATGCCTCAGAGTCCAAATGCCTTTTTAAATAATTCTTTATTGCATTAATAACCTCAGTTCCAAAATACACAAACAGGTCCACAGATACTCCTTCCAGTGTCTCAAAAATATGGTTGTCATTATCTGCATTTTAAGTTAAGAGCCTGTGATTCAGAGAGGCTAATAGTATTAAGGTTATGCATTTGTAAGGACAATATCTCATATGTTATCCAGTGTTTTATAATGGAAAGGAATGTAATATGTAGATCCAGATATACTTAAGCAAAAAGCTTGACTTCCTTATCTGCTATCAGCTGCATAATCTAGTCTATGCTATTTTAACAACTCCAGCCTTAGAACCTGACATAAATCAAGCACTCCATAAAAGTTGGTGATAGTTGATGGTATTTGGTTAAAAAATCTTTAAATGTATAAAGATTTTTAAATGTATAGATGTATGCCATGTTTTATTATATTTGCATGACGTAAAATAATCTATATTGTTCATCTATTTACTTCTTGATTCATATATTAGCATTCTAAAACTTCATCAAAGTAGGCATCTTATCTATTTCTAACATAATGCTAATATTCTCTCAATAAATGTTATGGAAAAATATTATGGACCATACTAGTATACAACCTATTTTTTGATGTATTAGAGCATGATGTCTTCATCCCACTATTGTGATGAGTAATGACAATGTATGTCAAGCATGGCAGACACACAGGAGATGTTCAAACAATTAGATTTTGTTTATTTTATATTATACTGGGATGATCAGATGAAGTCACATTCACGAGGATCAGGAGAGAGGGAAAAGTTTTTTACTCAGAATTGCAATTTGCTGAGACAAAAGGAGAAATGTCAGTTCTGGCCATAGAAAAGTTCAAGTCTAGCTGTAGAGGCAAGTTCACCTTGAGGGACCTGTCATGTCTGTGGCCTCAGAGGAACTCAGGGAGAAAGAACAAAGGGGTAGAGCAGGAATTGGAAGAGAAAGAGGGACAGGACAACTGTGCAGGAACAGCCAACAAAGAGCATTGCTGGAAGAGCCCAAGGAAGCAGGATGAGATTAGATGCCTAGGGGCCTGCAAAGCCAGGCCAAGACCAGAAAAAAATGTGCAGCCCTTACAAGTTTTATAAATTTATTGAAGCAGTGATGGATCAATCTCAATAAGTTTTTTAATGCCTTTATTGAGGTAAAATTGATATACAAACACTGTACATGTATAGTATATACCTGATGTGTTTGGATACATGCATACTCCTATCATGCTGTCACCATAGTCAATGTATTAAACTATCCCTCACCTCTGAAAGTTTCCTTGTGTCTGTGTCTGTGGGTGTTAAGAATCTTCAATCAGTTTTAATTCAAGGCTGAAGTAAAGTGAGGTTAGTGGTTAATAGAAGAAAGCAATGTTTTCCCACATGACATTTTCCTGATTACCACAGCCCAGCGTTCAGTATCATCCATTCTTAAGAACACACATGAAGGGAATTTGACTTCTGAAGATAGACAAGTCACCAATCATCAGCAATGTGCAAATTAGTCAGCCTGCTCTGTGAACATGGCCCTGCTAGAGACCTAAGCAACCTTTCTGCTAGATCACTTTGCAAGTCATACACTTACATAGGAATCAGTGTAATTACCAAATTGCAGAGAAGAGTTTACAAAAAAGCATAACTATAGAGCCCTGCTGTATTGGATATTCTTGTTTCTTTTAGCCCTGAGTCTAGTTCTTTCAATGTGAAGGAGATACTTTGAACTGGACTTTGAGTGATTCAGCTCTGAACAGCCACCCTGCTGAGTTCTCCCCAATGCCATAGCTGATCCTCAGGACTAGAATTCACCCACCACTTTCAAATCAACCCATATGCCTCTCTTAGAAAACACACACGCACACACACATACACACACATTCATTCACATTCTCATAATGTACAATTAAAAAAGAAAAATCCTTTTCTCTGAGCCCTGGGGAAACTCTCCCTACTACCTCCTTCTGCCTCTACTTGACTGCTGCATTATTTTATTTTGATTTTATTTGTGCCTGTTATAGGTAGGCACAGGAATTTCTTTATCATGATTTGGATTATTCTCTGAACTTTTCTTTTCTAAATGAGAGAAACCTAAGTTGTACCTTCCTCTGTGCCTGGGCCACATGGGACACACTTTTTGCTCACTGACTCCATGAGAACAAATTGATCCTGGCTGGGGAGGTGGGATGCAGTGTAAAGCTAACAGGACAAACTCTGGAACCAAAGACCCTGGGTCTACTTATCTCTGTCAATCACCAACTGTGTGGTCTGAGGAGAATTACAAACTAAATAAGGCACATGCTCTATCTGCCATGAGCCACCTCACTGATAGAGCAGAGTTGTACAGAAAATAATGGGTGGATTGGAAAAGTATTGATGACTTTCACTAAGGCATTGGAACTACAGAATTTAAAGTAGGAATGGGAGTCAGGGAAAAGCAGCTGAGCTATATTTGGACATGTTGAGCGAGAGATTCCTCTGGGACACTCAAAGAAAAGGCTAGTAAGCTGTGGAAAGTACAAATAAATTCAGCTGTGGGAACCACGTTGTTAGAAATATGTGCAAAAACCAAGGAAATGGCCAAACCCTCTGAAGGATGAATAAAATAATTGGTGTAACATACTCCCATGAAGTACCATTCTATAAGACAATGGATAAAAAAAAATAGATCAAATGAAGAAGCTTGAAGAAAGAAAGGTCAGTATATAAAGTTCCATAGAAAAATGTGGGAAGATCAAGAATGAGACAGTTTTGAGAAAGTTTCTGCCCCATACTGAGGATAAGTCAGAGACTGCAGAAGGTAGTAAAACATGATCCCTGGAAGGGCAGACACTTTTAAGAAATTCAAAGATAGAGGGAGAGATAAAGTTCAGTAACTCATAAGGCAGCAGAGTCAAGCATTTTGCAGTGTAAAAGGAGAAAGTCTTCGTAGGAGGAGAAGATGGAACTTCTGAAATAGTGGGGGTTGATCCCATAAAAGCAGGATCCTGGCACAGGAAGAAAATAGCAAAGGAAGAGCCCTAGCTGAGGGAGAAGTTAAACATCTTTTCTGCAATACCCAGAGACTGGATCTGAAGAGAAAAAAAAAAATGGTCAAAGAGTAGATGGCTTCCAGAGGCCACAAAGAAAGCCATGGCTCTGGGGGCAGGGGAGGGACTGAGGGATATGCCTTCAGGATGCCTTCAGTCACTTGAGTAGGATTAGAGGTGGCTCATGGTGATGATGGTAATGTTGGTGAGGAACTGTGTTGCCAACTGAACAGGAGAAAAAATATTGAAAAAATTAGGATTTCCCCACTTCATGTTCAAATTTGGAAAATACCCTGAGATTATGGCTATGAGAGGGTGAAGTGCAAACCCAAGACCATTTAACATGATCCTGTCCTCCCCCAAACAACATTCTCTTTGCCTATCTATCCCCAAATCAACATCACACATGAGATGCAAGCAATCTTTTTAATGTAGAACAGGCTTGGGCTGTACCAGTGTGCACATGATCTGAATAGGAGGAATTCTCAAAATAAGCTACTTCCCCTCCCATCCCCTTTCCCTTTTTTTTCCTCCCTCTCCATGAGGTGGTGCATTGTGAGCATCAGCTGGGAGGCCCTAGGCCTCTGGTTCCCCCAGCAGCTTCCCAATGGCAGCACAGATGTCTCCGCTTGTGGCCATCAAAGCCTGCAGGTTGGCATCACGATTAGCAAAGCCCATGGCCTTCAGATGCTCCAGTCCTTGCTGGTACCTGCTTTCAGCGAGGAGGGATGAGGATAGTGAGGATTGGTTAGACTGAGAACAGGCATTGGCCAATTCATGGAGTAGCTGGAAAACGGCCACAGCAGGTTGCACAGGGGTTGTTCTGTGACCCCGTCCTGCATCCCTAGTTTCAGGGGCTCCTGTAGCCCCATGCGGTTTACCTGGGTTCCATAAAAATGGTCCCAAATCAGGTACCTCCCTGGACAGTATCTGCAGGCCCTTTTCTATCTGTACTAATGCCTGCAGTGCTCGTGGGTTGGTGAGGATGGGAAGCAGTGGTATATGATGTCTCAGGGGGCTGTCAGTGGCCAGCTGGTGTAGCAGAGCTGGATTTTGCTGGAGGACATGCAAGGCTCTACGCAAGG